GTGGTTTTAATGATTCTTTGTTATTAACTAAGTAGGTTAACTATTAATATTTTAGAATTGAACTATTTCTAGGAATATAACTATATCTTTGAAATAAATACTGTTTAAACTAGTTAATTATGTTACATTCAGTATTTATCTGAAAGGTACACCTATATTTCTTATGTAAGTTTGGCTGTATTTCAGGGTTCGAATCTTATTTCCAATACCAGAAGCAATTTTTTGCTTGTTATTTTTAAAATTAGAAGCAAAAACAAAGTGTAACAAGCAAAAACTTTCAGTAATTCTAGTTGTAAATCTAAAATTAATACAACATTTTTTTGCCTGGTGCCAAATGGAAGTATTGGAAAAGAATTTGATCGTTTGGACTTTTGTCCATTTAACCACCACTTAACCACCACTTATTCACAAATGTGTATTTTCTATTGGTTTTTGCGTTTACAAAATGTGGTAATCATCGTTTAGACCAAGTAGTATTTTAGTAACGGCTGCGTAAACTGTGTGAAATGGCCCGTTCGCCATCTTAGGGTCAACACAGTTAGGGATAACATGATTGGTCAATAATATCACATGCTTTCAGTTTTGCATATATTATTTGTCAGGAAGGTGACGTATTGTTATTTCATTGGTTAAGTTACACGTGGCCAATTATATCTGGTCTCTTCGTTGAGACTCGGAGTTTGTTAAAGGGACAATAACACTCTTGCTGGCTTGACAGTTCCAGAAAATAAAAAAATAGCCTTATTCTAAGTACTAGATGTGTTAGTGTCCTACCTGTTGTGTAAATTATCCATTAAATCCTATGTTACTTGTCCAGAGGGTTCAAAAATATTTTTAAATCCAAGTCACATTTGAAAAGCTTTACGTCAGACTTTCCAAATCATTTAGTTGAATTTTTCCAATTTTTTAAATTAGGTGTGTTAAGATGAAATTTGTATCATCAATTAATTTGAATACTGTAAAATAGTACAATTTGTTGACCAGAATAAAGATTGGGACATATTCAGTTACAACAAGAGTGGTATTGAGCCTTTAAAGGAAAGTAAGTCTATACGCAAAATTGGGTCTTACGTAAAATTTTATCGTAAACATTTTCAACCTTTTCACAAAATTAAGCTATAGTAAAATTCAAGTTTTAAAATCTGCTTAAAACTAGATTATCGTAGACGCAAAACTTTGCGTTTTAGTTCAAATCTAACACGCTATTTTCATATTTTAGCACGCTTTTTGCGTCTTTGTGTCCGCTAATTTCGAAGCCTGTGTATTTATATTTGGATATGGTCCAACTTTAGCTAAAGTAATAGCTGTGCATTTAGTTTCTCTAATTCTGACTGTTCTACTTTTAATAATAAAATGGCCTAAATGTCATTGTATGCTAGAATTTAAAACATTCCAATCTTTACCAAAAAAATGTCCAAATATTGATATCTACCTTCGAAGGTTTCATCATAGGTTCTTGTGACCTATAAATGATAGGTTGGTTTAAGATGACGTAAAGACTCGCTCGTGTTGCAGATTGTTTTCAGTTATCTTGATGTCAGGCAATTTTTATTATTTGTACTCTTTGTGTTGTTTAAACTGATATACACTATTCAATGGATGCTTTAATGCCCAAAAAAGGAGGACATTGATTTTTTGTAATTAATTTCAAGAGAATCGCATGAAACAATCAAGGGGATATATATTTACTTTCGGTATTAAAAACGTTGATTAGTCTAGGCTTCTTTCTTTTTTAAAATCTAAGATATAAATAATCCAATATGTGTTGAGAAGTTGTTTAAGGATATTGATTTCCAAGCATACGAATGCCGGGTATAAAATAGAATATTAACAGTAGAAGTAAGAAGACAAATAGGTTTTTACACTTATACAGCTTCCTAGCAATGAAGTTGATATTAGAGTAATCTTGAAGTTAACATAATCAACCTATATAATAATCTAGACCCATATCATGTAGTTTTACAACTTTCATATGCAAAGTAAGGGGTCTAAATATACAGTTTGTTAATGACACTTAATTGCACCAATCACAGTATTGGATACAGATCAATTTTGAAGAAAAATATACTCAATTTGATTATTTGACACTTAATTAAAGATACATTATGGGAGATTTTAATAGAGAGTTGGTCATTCTTGCTATAACAGTTCAAAAATAGATGATGAAAGAAGAATATATTGAAAATTCAGTCAAATTACTTTATTTTGAACAAATTTATCACTATTGTAATTTTTGACTAGAAATGGAAGTAAACTCTCTCTTCACCGTCTCTGAGAATGGATGATCGTTTGATTGACAGGCGTTAACCCCACCTACATAATCTCGATTAATAGATTATCAAGTAACGTTTTCTATGGCTGTGGTTTGAGACGGGGTTGCAATTCAATTCGTATCACATTTATTTTTACTACAAATTAAAAATAAGACTTTTAATATATAGATAAGAAGCAAAAGTTTGAAAGGAATGGACCAAATCAATGAGGCATAATTATAGCCGAGTTCTTGTTAGCCTGCGTGTACTCTTGTACTGTAACTGGTAGGCCTGCGTAACTCCCGAACAGTGATCCAATGGAGCTGCAATTCAACTGGGGTGATGTTAGCTGCGATGTTTATCAATTTCTATAATTTTTCTGTAAACGCAAGTGACAAAAGAGCGTAGCCTTTAATACCGACATCCAAACTCTCATTTTAACCACAACTAAACATAATATCAAAGCCGTATACATGTATATGGAACTTTCAATCAAATTGACTGACATGCGGCCTCGCTCAACAGCGGCCTCACTTCGTACAATCTATCATTTAACCTCGATCTAAAATTATTTCCGGGAGTATGACGTCAACGTAACGGTTAATCTCCGCTTACGACGTCATTTAAAAATTTAATCAATCAGCGAAATCCTGTTTAAATCCAAGCCGAATCCAAGCCATCCGTGGGTCTACAGAGTTGATTTTGTGCTTGTTGTGTAAATAAAGATCTAATTTATAATTTCTATGACATCTGAAGCCTAAATAAAGACTTGCAATAATCAGATTTAGCTCTTGCATAATGTATGTTTAAAGAAATGAAAATATCAACTGTAGATAAATTGAATAAAAAAAGAGACTTGTCAAAACATATCCTGTTTATATCGTATGTAGAAGTTGACAAGTTTTCAATTAAGCATTTCTCTGTAAATACTAAACAGAATTCAAACAATTCTGGACTAATATGCCTTTTAAAAATTCAACTACTACAATATTATGGTTTGCAAGGGATTACAAATCCCTCAAATGACGATGAAAGACTTTAAGTTAATATTCATCAGACTTCTGTTTTGAAGAGAGTTTAATTAAAGGAGCTAAACCTCTAATTCAAGATTAAAAACACAAATTAGAATTCAATATTGCTCCATTTAAATCAATATTGATGTTCTTATCTTACCATAAAAAATATGGGGTCCTAATATCCAATATTTAAGACACAATGAACATCTTGAGATCACTACACGACATCGTGTACTCTATGGACATAATGGTTTCGAGCACCATTTGTAATGAACATGCCCTGAAGACAATAAGGTAGTAATAATAAATGGCTGATTCACAAATGAAAGAATAATGGTAAAATTTCCATGTTCAATGGACTAAGCAGACTCAAACCACTACTGTTTCCATATTTCACTGACGAACATAATTAATTAGAAATTACAATAATTTTTTTAAAACATTCAATTTTTAGAAAAATATTTAATGTAATATGTAGCCTCACATTAGACCCATTTTCATCTATTTTAAGGTTCCAAAAAAAATAGAGCCATATGACCTTTAATTAATTCAATTAATATTCACTTAAAAATAATAAGTAGATTGGTTTACTTATTGAAGTTAAAGTGACTTAGATACATATTAAAATTAAATGCATATTAAAATAAGGACAGTTATTCCTCACTCGTTTCATACAGTAAACCTAAAATTTGAGTAGATTGTTTGTGCTGTTTTGCTACATTTTGACATCAATCATTATGTGTATTATCTTTACGGGAATCGTAATTTCTTTAATTTGACTAATGGATTAAAATTTGGCATAAAAGTTAGAACATTTAAAATCATTTTAATAAACAGTGACATTTTTTTTCCAGAATTTGGGCATTTATTTCGTCAATCCCGCTTGTGGATGCTCTAGTCACATGGACTTTAAATTTATACACAGTGTTAACGGTCATGAGAGGAAGAAGCTTATTGATTTTAAACAATTTCCAATAATTACTGCTAGAGTTATGGTCCTTGATCACTTTGAAAAATCTTATGGACGCTCTAGAGGCAATAGTTGATATCCGATAGACTTAAAATTTATGAACAGAAATGAAATGAAATGGGTTTTAACGTCCTACTGCTCCCTCCGACTGGGCTAATGAAGACGGGCATATGCCATACAGTGTGCTATGAGGGAAATTTTGCCAACTGTCAAGGGACCTTTTATGTGCTGTCAATGAGTACATTATTGGACCTTGGATTTTAGTCCCGTCCGAATGACTAGACAGCTGTCCTTGTCAGGCCCTCCGTCCCGCACCACTGACAAGAGGAAACCACGCTGGAAAATCCTGATGAACTTTCTGGGCCAACACCGGGAGCAAACCTGTATCCTCTAGATTTATACATGGTCATGATTGAAAGAAGCCTATTGCTTTTCAACAATTTCCAATAATTACTAATAGAGTTATGGCCCTTGATCACTTGTGGACGCGCTATAGGCTAAAGTTAATATGAATTTATACACAGTGTTTAAGGTCATGAGACAAACAATCAAAACAAATTTTAATCATTTCTAATAATTACTTAATGGGTAGTTACTTGTAATCAGATTTTGGTGTGTTGTAAATGTTTTCATTACTGACAAAATAAAAAATATGCGACAACCCTTGTTGACTGCCTGGACAACTTACCTGCTGTGGGCTATGTTTTGTTACCTGGCTACCAATTTTTTAAGATATTAATGTTTCTAAGTTTTATTTTTCAGATTTAAACCAGAAACAATTGGTTAGTGTGTTGTTACTGTACTCGGATGACTTACCTGTACACGAGAAGGTGGCGCAATCATTGGCTGGTTTCTTGATAGAAAGTTGTGATTGCAATGTCTTTTTTGATTTATTTGAAGAACAAATAATTCACAGTCGTGGTCTAGATACGTGGTTGGTAGAACGTCTGCAGGAAGCTGATATTATTATGGTTTTATGTAGTGTTGGGGCTCGTCTGCGCTGTTCTAAAAAACGAACGAGATTTAAAGTTTCAAATGATAGAACTCTTCCTGATTATTTTGCCGTGGCAGTTGATTATGTGGGTGAAAAAATGCGAGTTGAACGTCGTAAGGACCAGTCTTTGTCAAAATTTGTAACGGTGCTCATGGATTATTCTACACCAAGTGATATTCCACCACAACTTGAAACTGCCACCAAATTTTGTTTGATGAAAGATATTAACAAATTATACCAACATATTCATGGACTCGATGATGCCTCATCGAAAACTGATGAATCTTACCCAGTTACAGACAAAAACTACCAAAAAAGTGAGGTGGGCACAGAACTCTTTATTGCGATGGAACAAGCCAAAGAATTTTTTCAAAAGAACCCAAACTGGGTAGATGATCGCCTAGAACAAATGCCACCGCCTAGTTCAAATAAATCAAAATCCAGACATCATAGAAATAATTCATTGGAACAACCATTACTTAAACATTACAGTACAACGGACTCGATAAAACCACAGATCAGTTCACAAATTAATGCTTTGATAGAAGTACATACTTTACCTCATCGATCAAATGATAACCATGATATAACTTACAACCCTCTTCCTTATAGTCGACAAAACTCATTACCATCATCACTTAGTAGCCATCTTACAACACAAATGTCAACAAATCAAATTAACATATCAAAAAGTTACGAAATGATACCGCTCACTGAACGATTTTCAGATATTGAAAATAGACCTTGTGTACTGTGTGGTCGGACACGGCATGCTAGTGGCCAGTATACTTGCCCTAATTCAAATCTGAGAAAACCAACGATAGCTATGGAGGATGAAATAGATTCAGGTCAATCAAAGAATAAAAGTAAATCAATGCCCACTGTGTGTGCAAATACTTTAACAAGTTCACAAACTGTCTTTCAAGCTGAGGTTTATAAAGCATGGGATGACGGAGGAAGAAGTTCACCTACAGATTCTCATGAGACCGATTCTAACCAGGGTTCGGACACCCTAGAACGTGATATAAGATCAATAACAGTGCCACCTACATTTGATCAAGTTCACTATTCTGTATCATCATATTTATTAAACGAACCATTACCTCCTTCCATTACAATTGTACATTCTACATCCGATCATCGCATCAGACCTGTTCCAACTCTGATGAGGATGGAACCAGCATCAGATGATGACCAGGCTTTTCTCCTATCATGTGCAGGGAAAGCGATAATTTTACAGGAACTATAGTATTTAATATGGTCAGTAATAGCAGGTTTCAGTAACCTTTATTTATTAAGGAAATAAGCTATGTTAAATTACAGTTTGTACACAGTTAAAACTGGGGGTTAGGTTACAATAACTGATATTGATTATATCTACAGGCTGTGTTAGATATTTCCGCTATTTTACCCACATAACTTTATGTTATCAACTTGTATTAGATCTTCTCAAACATATTTTTCTAGTATTAACTACTATTTTTGTGTTAGATACAGTAAGATTACAACTATTGCTTCGGGTCATTTAAACAATACATTACAATATAAGGTTCAGTCATCTGTTAGTATAATGAGGTTTATTTTAAACCAGATTTTGCTTGTATTGGGGCATTACATTGATTCTTACAAGAACATGTTGTTAGATTTTATAGAAGATTCCAGAAAGTTAATTGGGTGTATTTACATGAATAATATGAATTTTGCACTAAATAGTAGTGTTCTGCACATAAGCAGTTGTTAATTTAAGAACTAAAAGGCCCATTAAACCTCTTCTCTGTTTATTGTTTTGGTAAGGGGGAGACGGTGGTCATAATTTCTTGTACAAGTATTTATAACATTTGACTAGTACCCTTCTATAAATCAATTATTGGGAATGTATTGAAAATCATTTAAATTTTAAGTAATAAATACAAATGGGCACAAAACCAGACCCAACTTTTGTATTTGTACAGTATTTTTTTGCGTAGAATACGATGCCGAGTGGTAATCAGTCCGCCATTGGGGTGTATTTGAAATATTGGGGGTCAACGGTCATTTACACTGAAAGTGAATACGCAGCCATTCTTGTATCATGAAAACATGCTGAAAATGATCAAAACTAATCACTCTTTCAATAAAAATGTAAACTTGCTAAATTCACTTTTGTTCTTTGTGACATTTATTGCTTTAAATCGTCCTAGTGCAAAAACGGAAAATTTGACCTTTTGACCTCTGGGGTCACAAAGAACAAAGGTGAATTTAGCACTCTGCAACATATTCTACGCAAAATTTTACTATAGAAAAGTTGGGTCTGGTTTTTGCCCATTTGCCCCCCACACAGTACCTCCAGTCTAATAGGTAGGATTTTAGTTAAAGGAGAAGATCCATCTATTTCTACATTCTAACAATAGATGATAACAACTTTTAAAACTTTCTAAATTAAATATTGGGATTGTGACGTGGCTGGCAAAACTAGATCTAGCAAATGTGGACAATTGAAAACAGTAAGGTTAATTTTGACACTCAAAATACACAAATTTAATAAAATCATCCCCATTATGACCATCTTCTTTAATAAAAATGTAATTTACCTATAGTGTACTGATGTGTGGGAAGTAACTATAACCACATGATATATTGTAAACTAAAAGAACTTCTGATTCAGGAATATGTACAATGGTTACCAATTCAGAAAAGGCACATTAGCATGGCATGGACCCAAGTGGACTAAGGTGAATTTTTGTAGGAATATGCCCCCACCCCATCCTCCTTGAATACCCAAAAGCACTGGACAAGGCCCATTTGCCAGTGACAGATTTTAAATTGTGAACCCTATCAAAATTCAGACACACACATCAAATATTGTACAGTTATTGCCCTAGAAGACTTTGTAAATGCTCTACAGGTCAATATGTTTTAGATTTATTATGATGATTTTTAACATGTTGTAATTGTTCAGGAACCAGGTAGTCATAATGAGGAATCCTATTGATTTTCAGAACTACAGAATTATTGCCCCTGTCATCCAAAGGTCAGAGTTTTAAACTTTCTGGATTCTTTTGTCTGTTCACAAGGAGGAACCCTATCAACATTCAGAATTATGCATCAATTTATGTCACTGAAACCTGTTTAGATATTTAAGGGCTTTTTTTTTTACCTCTCAAATCAACCTTAACTTGGTATCTGGTTTAAAATAAGAGAAGACTTGCTTTTATTTTAATCAAACAACATTTTTTAAAGCTCAAATCTGCACAGTTTGTCACTTAAAGAGGCTTTAGCTGTTAGCGATAAAAAGAAATTTTAAATTTCAACATACACCGTAGTTAAATCAGGACTGTTCAGATAAGTTCATAATAAAAATATGTTACAGACATGTGCATAGCTGAGATATAGAGACTTTAACTACCGGTGGTTGATTGGTTTTCAAGGAGCCTAGGGTTATTTTAAATAATAATAATAATAATATGTTATTTATCAAAATTTGTTACTTTTATTTTCATGTTGAAAGTGGTTCCTCTAAAGGATAGGAGTATGACCAAATGAAATTTACCACATAACTGTTGGTGTTCTTTCAATATCAAACATTGTTGATAATCAAAGATTGTCAATTTCCTTTTATTGTTAATTATTGTTCCTTGATTGTTAATATCTTCAAAATTGTTTAATATCAATTTAATATTGTTTAACGTTTAATATACTTTTCTCCGTTTTAATAGATGTATGAATTTATAAGCTATATGTTGTAATAATTTTACATATTAATATATAATGTATAATAATTATAGTGGTTATAAATTCATAAGAATAATTATTGTATATTTCAAAGTCAAATTTGTATATTACTTGGTCTAAAAATGTATGTGGTCTTGTCAATGTGATTTTTCACTCAAAAGTTTTATTTTGTTGCTGTTAGTGTTAATGATTTCAAGATCTTGACTTATTTTTTGTTGATTATGATCCTTGAAGTATGACACTTTAGAAATGAATTAGTCAGTAATCTTTATGAGGGTTATATCATGCATAAGGGTATCAAAGACAAACTAAAAAGAAAAATATTACTGATACATTCAGCTATGGTGTCTTACGTCATATTTAATACATTTCTTTTAACACAACTGCAATATGTCAAATAATCTCAATCTGCAATAAACAAATTCTATACCTTAATCCCGAAAACATTCCACAAAATAATTGCAAATGTATTTGGTCATTTATTACATTCTTTTTTGAGGTGTTTTGGGGGTATTTTTTCTCAAAACATGTGGGTGTTTCCTGAAACTTGGTCAACTTTTGATATGAATTGTGTTAGGTTCTTCAAACCAGACAGACTTACCGGTATATGGTGTATTTGTGATGCTTCCTTTTACATTTGATGTAGTTCAGAGTATTCTTGTCAGACTTATTAAAGATGTGATTGTTCTTAACAAACAACATGTTGACAGAATATAATTAGTGATGCTCTTCATCGATCACCATTTTGAAATGAAAAATCGGTAATGAGCTGCATGTAATGTATGTAGGGCAGGACGTTCGTTTTCAGTTTAGAAACAATCATTTGAGAATAAAATCATTCACAGACCCTTCTCCCTTATTAAAACCAGATGAACTAATTATGAGATCATTATCAGATATCTGCATTAGAATTACATGCTGGCTTTATTAGTATGATGGTACTTAGAAAGGCTTGAGAAATACAATACTATCAATTAAGTCAAGGTTTTACGCCAGAAATAATGGAATAATGTCACTTTAAAATGAAATGTGTCGACAAAATTCTTCATGGGGACAGCTCAGGATGACTAATGGTATTGCACATTTGACTAAACTTTACTCTCACATGACACAATAGCTTGGTGATCTGTATCTTTAAATGAGAAATGTGTGTAGTTGTAATATGAGATATTATTTCTGTCAAAACTCATGTAAAATTGATACGCATCTTTAATTTGTTGTTAATGAGTTTAATTCAGTGATGCCATCACTACATGTAGTAATGGGATCCGGGTCACTAGATTCCACAGTGAGTGTATACCGATGTCATTTTGTGTCATGTGGAATTCCGAGCTACGTCCCTTGTGGAGAAGACAACATTGGACAAACTAATTGGAAAAAGACAATAATGGTAATCGGGGACACACTGTATGATTGTTAATTGAAGGTAATTGGATTAATAAATTTCTTATTGTATTCCCTTTTTTAACTAAAAGTGTTTCAGTATTTAACAATAGAACTAGTGTGTTAGTGTCATGTTTTAGTGGTTCTATGTTAATCAATATAGTTCTACATGATTAAACTTCAACAAATATTTATAATACCAGAACTAAAATCATATAAACATGGTGTATTCTACATTATCAATCAATTCATCCTAAAAAAATCCACAGATTGTATTGTTTGAATTATCACACTATGAATCTAACCACAGCCTCATTATAGAATTATTGACTTGGGATAGTGCTTCTAAAAGAATTTAAAAGTTAATGACTTTGAGGGTTGATAATCCTTGTGGCATCTGTATCCAATATTTATAAATATTTGATTATATGATAATTGTGAAACAATATTAACTAGCTGGTTTTACAGTTAATTTAGATTTAAATTGAATTTTGATAAAGGTTTAGTTAACCATAGGGTAGTGTTTACTGACGTATAATTATATTTATATTCTGGGTGAATTATATATTTCTATTTACATAGTTTTATAGTTACTAATAATATTTACTTTTCTGAAAACTATGTGCAATGATGTTTATTTTATTACATGCCAGAAACATGGAATAAAAAAAAAATTACATACACTCTTATTATTATTACATATTTTTCAATTTTCATAGTTACTTCTTTGATATTTGAATGCGAGACTGAATGAAATTGTAAATTATTATATTTGAATCGATTTTGATGAACTTTGATCAATGCAATGTTTTGTGTAAACTAATCAAAATAAATTATATATTATATTTTACATGTACAATGCTTACACATTACATATATAATTGTGATAAGTATATATGATAATATGTATTAAAAATAAACTGTTTAATACCATTCGTTTGTTTAATGATAAGTTTATGTTCCAATGATTAGTGATAGTAGAAAGGAGACCCATTTCAAAAACATCCATTATAAGGGGTCCTGTACATTTAACTTACATAGTCATGTGCCTATTTTGTATATTCTTTAAATGGCATTTAGTAATTGGAACATAATCGAATAACACACTATTTATGGATAACAATTACTATGGTTTATTTCACTGCGATGTTTCAACAAGATTTCACAAGTCGTTATCAAGCATATAACACAAATAAATAAAATGAAAAAATATGATTATATATAAGAGATATCACAATAAATAAGATAGGTACACGAAGCATGGAATACGCTTACACAGTAGCTTTGCCTTAAGAAAAAGATAGTATCCTCTTATCATGAGACCAAGTAAGCACTCTCGTGAGACAGTCTCATATCAGACCAGGTGCGGATTTTACTGGCCCGGGGGGGGGGGGGGGAGATGAGCGAGTAAGCGACCCCGTGAGACAAAGTTCCCTCAGGCCCTGTCCCAAAAAATTCAAAGCTCAGTTACATACGTATCTGAAATTTTTTCGCTCCTAAAGCGCTCAATTCCATTGTGTCACCATTCCTCTGTCTTACACTATCTCACACTATCATAATATTCACCGTCGCGTCACAATGAATCGCCCAGTTAGTAGCACCACTCGTGAGTGGGTCGTGGGGTGACAGCCTGTAGAAATGTTATTTCAACTCTCACAAAACAGGCAGAATTGACATGGAGGCCTCAAGATTCTGTCCCATTTCTTAACCTCTCGTTCACGAGAATTGTTCCCATTTGCCATGACATTGACTAAAATTTTCAGGCCGAGTCCCAAACAATTACATATTATACGTCGCTATCTGAAATTTGTTCGCGCCTACTCCGCTCGATTCCATTATGGCATCCTTCTTCCACTCCTGTGGTCTTTTACTGTCTCAGCACTATCATATTCATGGTTATAATGAACTGCCCAGTTAGTAGTACCACTGGTGTGTGGATCGTATTGGCTGCCATTTCTGGTTCTCTCGTTCACAAGAATTTGCTCTCGGCAATGACCTCAAATGTTAGGATATTGACTCAATTTTTCAAAATTTTCTCAGGTTGCTCAGTGTTGTAGCCACTGCCCCTAAGGTTCATAACAATCATATATGACATGAACTTTATGTCAACATAAATAAAACTGCTTTCCGTTGAGATAACGATCGGCGAACACCTATATACGATCTATGTTCAACCGGGATGCTCAGTATTTTGTTGACATTCATTGTGGTGTAGGGATTCATAGGCGTACGAACTAGGGGCAGCTGCCCGCCCCCAGTTTCGGGCAATCTGACTTTTTGGGCAGACGGGGAAAGTGAAATAAAAAATATTTCGTCTAGTTGGCAAAATAAAGTGCCCGAAATCTAATAAAACACTAATTTTACTTCTCTTTTTATTGAATACCACGAATTTGTACTAAATTGACTGTGGATTAAAACATTTTGTCTGGAGCCACTCTATACTTTGTGCAACATTTTTTGGGCATCGATTATTATTTGTGAATGCAGCTGCAACAGTGTGATTAGATGGTTGGAATTCAAGTCGGCATAGAGTGGGATTTCGGTTACAATGGTTACAGAACCATTATAGAACTTTAGAGTTGCTTAACTCGCGTGTTAGAGAAGCATAAAAACGCATTTGCGGTATTTAAATTTTCAAAATTCTCTTAGGCAGGGCGAGGCCCCCATACCCCGAGGAGACAATTGATTGGTTGTTGGGGATTCAGGTCAGCCACCAAAGGTAGGCTATATTGGACCACATTGAAGTTGCTGTATTCACAGACTGGAATAGCAGGAAAACGCGTTTGCAGCAGTTAAATTTTCAAAATTTTCTCTCGACGGTCCCGTCTCCGTGGAGTGTAAACAATTGATTGGTTGATTGGAATTCGAGTCGGCCATCTTAATTAGGCTATATTAGACCACTTTGAAGTTGCTGTATTCAGAGGTTGGAATACCAGGAAAACGCGTTTTTCGGCCGTCAAATTTTCCAAAATTTTCTTGGGGGTCCCTACACGGTGAGCTCTGCTTCTCCACTCTCGCAGAAGACAAGCGCCGCCGTCTGTAACCCAATTACAGATAAAGCTACCCGAAACGTTGAAGCTAGTTAGGCCTATTGTTGATACTGATTTAAACACGCGGGTGCCGATTTCCTTTATGAAATATGAAAATGCCGCTCCTCCCTACCTTAAAAAACATACACAAAATACATTTGAACTGGTCAGTCATTACGAGGTCGAAGATGTTTTTTTAATCGCAAAATTATACTTGAAAATAGTGTTGAAATATAAATTTGTGTCAAATGTGACGAGAAATGATTCCTTTTGGCGAAAAATAAAGAATCACGATGTAAAATAGAAGGTAAGGATTCCAAAATATCCCAAGAACAATGTGTTGGGAAGAGCGGTATTTTCATATTGCAGCTATATGAGGACGGATAGGAATGGCCATCGGAAAGTGCTTGATCAGAGACCGTTCCTAACAGGAACTGGCGGTTGACATTTTTGCAAGGAATGGACGGATAACAGTGAAAACCACCCGTCCTCTCATCGTCTCAATGCAATGCCTGACATTGAATTGGAAAACATCCGTTAAAACTGTAGCCTCTACGTTTACAAGATTTTAGGGAAAGGGGGATAACTCTGGAACGGTAGGTCACAGAACGCTGATGCACGGAGAACAGGGTAATTGTCTCATTATCCCAATGCTTCACATCGAAAATGAAAACAATCTATTACAAGGTTTTCGGCAAAGGGAGGTCGGAGAACGCTGAAAATCGATCGGGTTTTCGACTAAGGGAGCATAATCATATTCGAAAAAAATCCGTTAAAACCATAACATGTATGGCTCAAAATATTTTCAGAAACCTATGGTCAGATGCGCACCAAAATCAAACCAATCCAAGATCTTTCAATCCGTAATGCATATTTTAAGATCCACAAACCTATTTTTTTTTTCGGGGGGGGGGGGGCACGTGGCTAAGTGGGTAAGACGCTGGCTCGCTAGCCTGGAGGTCGGGTGTTCGATCCCTGCATTGGCCGAGAAAGTTCATCCAGATTTTCCGGCGTGGTTCCCCCTTGTCAGCGATGCAGGACGGAGGGCCTAACAAGGACAGCTGTCTAGTCCTTCGGATGAGACGAAAAACCGAGGTCCCATGTATACATTGGAATGCACGTAAAAGATCCCTTGGCGGTTGGAATTCGATATAAGAGTAGGCGATAGTGCCGCTGCCCGGGCAAAATTTCCCTCATAGCACACTGTATGGCGTATGCCCGTCTTCATTAGCCCAGCATAGGAGCAGAACAGTAGGACGTTAAACCCCATTTCATTTCATTTCATTTATTTCACTTTTTGCGTTAAAGGCAGATATGAGGCCATAACCTAAGATGCTGCGGTTCTATGTCAGATGCACATGCAAGTTCTTTCGACCTTTTACGCATATTTTAAGTGTCATCTAAATCGGACAAAAATTGATATACATATTATGTATTACATGCTTTGCCACTATGTGTATTTGTACGGTCCAATTTCCAACAAAATCAAACCCATTGGTGACTGTTGTGTAATAAACATATAATTGAACGTTAATCAAAATTATGACCTCTACAGGGTCCACAAGCTATGTACAATCAGGGGCAATAATCCAAGAAGTTACGGTCTTGTGACCTCTAGAGTGTCCACAAGCTAGGCGCGCGATTTTCGTACAATCAGGGGTTATAATCTGGAAAGTTACCGTGAGATATGTGCCAAAATCGAACCTATTCGAGATCTTTGGGATATCAACATATAGTTTAAACTTATATTATGCAAGAGCTAAATCTGCCCATTGCAGGTCTTTATTTAGGCCTGAAATGTTATCTATACTCTTCAAAAAAGAAGGGAATATTCAGAAACAATGCACTTCTGTTTTATTAGAGGTAACCAGTGTATGTTAATAACAGGTCAATTTGTCTACACATGAACATAAACAGTTCATATGGGCGGCTAAGAGATACACTGTCAAAAGTGAAAATGGACGTTTTTGATTTTATCTTAATAATGAGTAATTGCTCCACCAATCCTCAGACATTCAGCAATTCGTCGTGGCATGCTCCTAATCAACCGTCCAATCACGATTTTGGGCAATCTAACCCACTCCTCTTGCAGTGCCACGGCCCATTCTTGTAGTGTTGTCGGTTGACGTTAACGTCGACGAACACGTCTCCCGATCATGTCCCAGACATGCTCTATAGGGGAAAGGTCCTGGACTCATGGCTGACCAAGGCATATGGACAATATGGTGACGCTGGAGGTAGTCATTCACGACACGAGCGCGGTGGGCACGGGCATTATCACCTTGAAAGATGAAACGTCGACCTGCACGTTGAGCAAAGGGCAGAACTATCGGTGCCAGGATGTGGTCACGGTAGTACACACCAGTGACCCTTCCTTGAACAATATGCAAGTCCGTTCTGCCAGTCATGGTGATTCCTCCTCACACCATAACAGACCCACGCCCGAATCTGTCATGCTGTCTGACGTTAACGTTAGCATGACGCTCATCTACACGCCCCCAAAAGCGAGCACGCCTATCGGTGAAATCCAGAGTAAATCTGAACTCATCTGAGAACATCACACGCGCCCATCGACGATTATCCCAATGTCTACGCTGCCTACACAATTGACGCCTGTTTGCTATGTGCTGGCGAGTTAATGGAGGCACAACACGCGGTCGTCGCGCATGCAAATGGGCTGCATGTAGCCGATTTCTAATCGTTTGGGGTGCAACTCGAATTTCTGTAACTTGATACAAGTTTACAGAACTCTGATTGGCCGTTTGTCCTCGATTTCGCAGGACCTGTGTACGAATGTATCGATCTTGGGCTTGTGTAGTGGCTCTAGGACGACCTGAACGAGGTCTATCATCAGCATTGTGTGTTTGTTGGTACCGGTTCCACATGTTGGCTACTAGTCGCTGT